CCAATTGAGAGTTGACTGTGAGACTAGCCACTGAGACACTGGTGTTTCATACAGTACAAATCGGTTAAATAAATTCGAATTTTATTCAGTAACAACATGTCAACAGAATGTGAAATGCATGATCTGCTATCCTTTGAGGGAAAGCTGTGAGCTGAAAGTGGCGTGAAGGGAGTATTAAAAATAAATGCCAAGAAATCTCGTTTTATTACCAAGAGACGTCAATGTAGAACTAATGAAAAGCTAAAAGAACCTGGATAATACCTACCAGTACCTACGTACCTACCTTGGTCGATCTTCCGATCGAACTAAGGAAACGAACTTCACCATATGTCTCTTTCTAGCATCACTGAATGTATCTCCGATGGTGATTTCAGCCCAGTGTCCCTTTGAAGAAGATCAAAGATGGTTGTGGCCTGCTCCCTGGTTCAGATGACCACGTGTTAGTTGCCATAGTATCAACTTCGAGGCTACCTCTTCAGGATATGCCTAGCCTACACACAGTGGCCGCCTAGGCGTAATCTCCGCTCGGCGATTTTGTGTGAGACTTTAGAATAATAATGAGGAAAAGAGTGGGGCCGTATCGTAAGTTCGACGTCTCATAAGTCCGACGCCTCATAAGTCCGAAATTTCGGAATTATGAGGCGTCGGACTAATGAGGCGTCGGACTTATGAGGCGTCGGACTTATGAGGCGTCGGACCTATGGGGCGTCGGACCTGTGAGGCATCGGACCTGTGAGGCGTCGGACTTATGGGCCTTTATTTGGTTGGGGATGAACTTTTGTCGGACTTATGAGGCGTCGGACCTATGAGGCGTCGAACTTAATGCGCGGATTTTAAAGCATTTTCGTAAGGTATGAAAGAACTTTGAATCTGTGTCTCCTATTGGGACAATGCATAGACAGTATGATGTTCAAACCGGTGAGTTCCTCACTGCACTGGTTTTCTTGGAAACAAGTTAAAACCTAACAAAAAGAAAATGTTGAAGTAACTTACGATTTTACATACTGTCCTTTGCACGATCTTACTTTAATTGTAACACGGAATCTCGTTGCTTTATATTTTATTTGCCAGCTGTTCGGCTGTCGACATCAGTGAATTTTTTCAGTGTGTGTGGGTGTGTGTGTGTGGGGGGGAACATTTGATGGGGGGGGGGGGCGTCATGTAGATTAATGATAATTTTTTTAAAAACTCAAAATCTCAGGGGGGGGGGGGGCGACTGGGGGGCGACTGGGGGCGACAAGGTTTCATGGGGGGAGGGCTGTCACCCCCCCCCCCCCCACGCCACCCCGTGGCTACACCACTGGTCGACATGATAAAACAAACTTAAAGAGTTTGCTTCCCCATGATACACGGTACAACCGCAAATTCGGTTTCCAGTCCTAACTTAATTTTATGGATTGCTTTAACCATTTTGTGTGTGTGTGTGGAAATTTCCTAACACTTAAGTCAAAAACATACCACAAACAAACGTACACGGTAGGTCTCTTCTGAATTTCCGTTTAAACTTTTATTTCCCCTTCTCAATTAATTTATGATTACATAAAATAACACCATACACATTTACTAACAATTAATACAACATGGCTGGCATTGGCAATTCATTTACTGGAAATGTACAAATGGAGAACCTGGTAACCTTTTTGGTGGCAGTTAAAATACATAAATAATGCATAAATATATAACTGGTGCCTGACTAACGTGAATACTCAAACCATACATTTACCTGAAACTATTAGTGAAATTCAGATAGAAAACTAAAACAAGCACGTCGTGCTATGTTTTGCGGTAGTGTTAATGGAAGAACAAACAAAACCATTTCCTGGAACATCAACAAACGTAAGAATAAGATGAGAACAAACTTGACAACATTTGAGTTTGACGAGAGTTTTCACAGCTGCTTGCTACTGTAATTCACTGTGATTTTATACCTACAAGCCAAACATCATCACAGTGCTTGTTGTGATCTCGAAATGAGGTTACAAGTCAAAATACAGTTTTCAAACAATAAATAAAGCGCGTCCCTGAAACCAACTTTTAAACCGATTTTATCAGTGAGAGCACAATCATGTTAATACTGTGGAGTATTAATATGTACATGTACGGCACCGCTACTAAACCTGACACTTTTGTTTGTTTGGCAAATTCATTAAAATCCCAACTCAGTTTCAGAATGAAACACCTTCGAGACACCAAAAAAATATCGCTGATATTTTTCAATACACGTCATCGAATACAGAAATTTAAACCTGATAAAATAAAAATGTTCATGAAAAAGACAGAGCTTTCCAATGCACAAACGTAAATTCATACATTTGATGGAGAATTTGGCGGATTATAATTCAAGTAAATAATTCACGTTGGAAATGACCTTAAGTCTACGATGCAATCCTTTATGGCTGATGCCCTTTGACACCGTAAATGGTTTTTATTCTATTCTTGGGTAAAAGAAGGCGATGTACATGTGTAACGACATCAGTTGGGGTCACAGAATGATGTGAATCAGAGGTGCTTATTATAAGTGTTTAAGTGTACGTATTGTGCAACAGCTCAAAAATACAGTTTTTGCAATAGTAATTTGAACTTTACCCTCCTACTGTTTAAGCAGTCACAGACAGTCAAAACCTCCTTCCACTTGACCTGCCATGCCTTTTACACAGGCTACAAACAGTCGGATCATATTTCAAGCAAGCACTCTGCATCTGACTTGTCAAATACCAGTTCCGAAATTCATGGGGGAATGTACAATTTCGAGTTCCGGACCTCTGCACCAAATACAAATTCACTTGTGAAACAAGTTTGTGTAACAAACCACCAGTATAAGCAACATATGTACATGTAACTGAATTCACACCTCTATTTGAAGTTTCTATTCTCTTAAGGTAATCACCATACATTGGAAATTGAATACATTTACTGACATGCAAGCATGCATCCTTGGAACGTGCAAGCCCCATGGTGCCATCTCATTTACATAGCTACCTCATGAAACATGAATATGCGTGTCACAGCCTATAAATATGAATATGCATATGACCTCAAACTTATAAATACGAATATGCAGCTGGTTCTAGATGCTAATTATATAAATTTCATTTCACATAAAAATACACTTTGCTCTAATTTCTGTTATATTTCACACTTTTTTTGCATCAGGAATACTTTGTTAAAACAATTATTTTACATTTACTGTTTAAAAACTTAATTTACTTGTTTATACTCAAATGATACAAGATTGTTTCACATAAAGTTATTTAGTAATACACAATACATGCTTCTGACCTGGAGCGTAATATTTACAAGGAAAACATAATTGTAGCATTGTCGAATGGTCTAAAATGCATTTTTTTTCTTCAAATAATATATCCATTGGTGGGATTGTACCTGACCGTTACAAATTATATCAAACACATATAGGTAATACTTTACAAATTTAACAATTCCTACTTTCTCCAGACTGTGTAAACAAAAAATGTGTAATAATTCAGTTAAGCAAATAACATTTTATCATCCGAGGAAAGAAGAGCCAGTCTTATGGCAAATTAACTTGGAAAGAGTTAATGCTAATAACATTTAACATTTGCAAAACACAGATGCTGCTGCACATCAATTCATTCATTTTGTGGCAAGTTAACAAAAAAAAAAAACTAAACAAATATTGACATGAATGCAATACCACTTTTTATCAAAAATATTCCGCACAAATTTGTTAACTAATTGTCATCCATATTTAAGCTGTTCTGCCTTTTTAAATTTAAATTTGTTTTTACAATACCCTGTGTAATACACATGCTAATTTTGCATGCTGATCTCAAAATTGTGTGATATTTACATTTGGCCATGTTCCAGATTAAAGCATACATTACTCCCTAATTTCTCCTCAGAACACTTTGTTTAAGTAAGTAGTTTCCCTTCTTGAGGAAAAGGTACAACTGTTCTGTAGTTTTGGCAGCTATAGACACTGTGCACAAACCCCCATTACGAATGGAGATTTGGGGAAGACCATTCCCTCGTACCCCCGCGACGCTGGGATACTCTGATGAATTCACGCTCTGATTGGTTGGATTTTGCGTGACCTGCGCGTCATCACGGTCATGACTCTGCAGAATTTGAAACGGCCGTTAAGACTGATTGATTACTCTTTTATTCCAGTTTAGAGATGTTTTTTTTTTTTTTTCGTTGAAAAGCGAAATAATGTAGGAAATTCTGTAAAACTTATCCGTGTTGTAAATTAACAATTCCCGTCAATTGCTCAGGCTCCGTTTCGAAAATTGTGTCCACATGGTCCGCAATGAAACAGAAATCACATCCGGTATGGAATGTGTGCATTTCTATGGGAAGTTTTCGGATAGCATTTGCGCATATTGACTAACTGCGGTCTTGAACAGCTGCAGCCAGATGCTTTATACATGTAGTTAGGTCATATATGTAGGCCACTTCCTTCACAAGATTCTGTGGAGCTCATCAGCGTATCCCAGCATCCTGTTTGCAGGGTGGGGGGGGGGGGGGTGTTACGAGTGAAGGGAGACCACTGGGAGGGACTCTTGAACGCATTGCCAGTAGGACAGAGGCTCAAGCGAAGATGCCAAGGTTTATGCACTAGGGCTATTCATTTTCAAATAATTTAGTATTGGATTAATCAAAACTGTTTTTAACCAAATATTTGGATATTCCTAGCTGCCAGCTGCAACATCATGCCCCACCAGTCAGAAGTTGCATGCGGAGCGCGCACCAGTTAAAATTTGCCTGCAGCAATCTATACGGAGCGTTTTGCAGTACCGGTAAGTACATTGTATGTTTGTAACTGTTAAGGGTTTGATCTTGCTAACAGGACAGAAACAACGTAACAGTTATCAAGCAAAAATGTTACTGCCGACAAAAAAAGTGGCACCTGATGACAATAAGATATGCCGCAACTTTATGATTATTATAACATGACAGTCGTGTGTGTATGTGTAGGCCGTCACCGCGCCATGGGGAATTTTTTTTTATTGTTGGGCAAATTAGGACCGAGTAATGGGGACTTTCTGCTGTCCCCACAGCGTTTTGGGTCCCTACAAATATCTCGTAGCAACGAGTGTTTGTCCCCACAACTGCGAAACAAGAATGTGCGAGAATGTAAACACCGGCAATCGTGGACCTAAGACAATACGTCCACGAATGACCGATTGTCCATGTACAAAACCAATGAGAGCTGTTGCTAAAAAGTTAAAAGTACAAAAAAAGGAATGAGGATTAGGGACAATAGGGGGTCCAGGAACCATGATTTGCCGGTGTTTACAGAGATGTGTGTATGTGTATGTGCGTACTTTTTTCTAACATTCGGTTGACGATAGAATATTTGAATATTCGGTATATTCGAGACAGCTCTATTGTGCACATGTTGAAAAAAATTTGTCACGCATACTTTTGCACACCCTCCCACTGCTCCCATTGGGCTCTTGATAGCGGTCGCAAATTTAAGTGCCATCTATTCTTCATACAGAGAGTCCATGTACCGTAGCTACCGAGAGCACGTAATACTAGTAATTTAACAGAATATATACATACATGCACAGTAATTTACATGTTTTGGAGGCAATTTCAAAAAGAGTTCAAATTCTAGCCTAGAATCACCTCAGTATCAACAAAGTCTAAAACAACATGTTTACACTGACCATCTCGAAAACTGCTTCTCTTTACCGCTAGACCTTTAACATGTATGCTTATTCTCAGTCAAAAGTCATTGACTTGTTCATGTACCTTGACACATGCAGCTAGCTAGCCAGATCAAGGGTTTCCCCTCGAGAAGACGGAAATGGAAAAAAAAATATCCAAGATCTGTAGAGTAGAGCCATTGATGACAAAATCCATCACAGCTCAACAGTCATCCACAGGCAGACAAGACTTATCCATGCAAACATGCAGAACAAGAAACATTCACAATTCAAGATGGCTGCCTGCCACATACAGCATAATATACACAGTGTACAATTACTTAGCAATTTTCAAGCGCCAACCAAGCATTTTGTGGAGCAGACTTACAGACCACTTTTCATAATACAAATCGGTGGGGCACAACTTTTGTTCCAATGGCAAGGGACCCTTCTTTGCCAGCCCGTGTCAATTTACTCAAATGGTTCACCTTATAATAGAGGCAGGTGCAGACAGCTCGGAGCTTCTTACATTGGCTTGTCTAGTTCCCTTGTCTGTAAACCTTCTCAGCACTACTTTATATACTATGCGTCATGCTCCACTGCACTCCCACTCCGTATCCGCGTAGCCGCCAACAGGGTGGTTGGTTTGGACTTAGAATTTTTTCCAGTGATTCCAACCTCGTAGCCAGAGATTTTAGGGGTGTATTTCCGAGTGGCGGGGTATTCTGCAATTACTCCGAGAGCAAGTTAGGGTGAGGACTTTGGTTAACCACAGTTTGTCTAACTTCACTCCAATACAGAATGGTCGGACTACTCAAATAGTTGGAGCCGAAGCCCGGTGCATGGTTGCATCGTTGGTTGCCAATGGCTGCATGTATCATAATACACAGCAGGGAACCAGGATTCAAAAGTTTCGTGATGACATTTTCACCAGCGTATGACAGGAGTTGTTCACACATTGCTGTTGGTGTGCAAACGTAAGTTGCGTTGAGAATCAACCACCAGTTGACTCATGGTACTTGCCCAACCTTCCTCCTAGATTTTGTATTTACTTTTCATGTCATAATTTTTAAGCTGTAGAATTCTTAATTGAGTTGTTACATGCATGCCTGAGTAGTTTATAATGCCATTTTCAACAGTAACTTTAAAAAGTCCACAACGGCCCTACAATTTACAGGACCCAATTTCATAGCTCTGACTCCCGTAAACCGGGCAAAGAATAGTTGCAGAAGATTCTGCACAAAGCGGTGAGGGTTCAATGTATATCATGAGTTGGGTGGGAATATTGGCATGTGCTCATCGGTACACACCAAGGATTCAGTGCTACACTTTAAATTTAATTACAAACTTTAGTCACAAACTGGTGACCATATATGTGCACATTATTCTGGTCAGTGGTATGAGGAGTTGCAGGATTCTGAACAACTCTCCAGGATCTTCCCCCAATGATGTTATCAGGTTGTAAACAAGTTATTCAGAATCCTACAACTACTAGCCCATAAACAAATTTCTGTTTTATAGCAACTCCGTGAAATTGGGTCCAGGATTCAGATGTTGCAAGTTTGACCCTTATAACCCATTAGCCATTGTACCATCTGAAACTGTTGGCCTATTATTAACAAACACTACTGCCACAGTTTTCAGAAGCAATAGTGTGTAATACACCACGTGGTTTCTGACAATCCAATGAATAATGGTAGAGCCAATTGCTGGGCTTTTCTACGTCTCCAAAACTTCCAACTCATCAAAGTTCAAGGATTCCAGCGCCCTGGGCGGCCGGGGAACGCCAGAATCTTCTGAGTTCTCTGTGTTTTCATCGTCAGAGAAACTAATGTGGAGTTTAGTGTCTGGAATGGACAGCTCATTGCCGTGTGGGCTCAGGCTTCCGTCAGACAGCACACCAGGGCTTTGGATGTTGAGAGATGTGGAATGCAGGGCGAGCTTGGTGAAGTGGTTGCCGGCGTCCGTCAGTCGGGAATCAGAGAGACTCTGGCCCCTGGAGTTGTGGTTGAAGTTGAGGTTGAGAGGCGACCGCTCGGTTAACGTCCCCGAGGAATCCGTCACTCCGCTGCTGTTGTTGTTGTTGGATGTCTCAAACAAGTTTGGATACTGTTGCTGCTGCTGTTCTTGTTGTTTCTGCTGATGTGGCTTGCTGCTGTGATGATGCCGGCGACGTTGTTTTGGGGATTTAACTCCTGGAGCCTCTGCTACCGGAGAGACGTTAAGCTCCAGCCTGTTCCCCGTCGAGTCCTGCATGGGTACTGGCACGATCACCCGGATGCCATCGTTGGGTGTCGATGTTAGCTCCTTCCCCATCTTTTTTGGCCGCTCGATTGTCGGCGTGTCAAACATGTCCCGGTCAGCCGGGCCGAAGCTGTCCCCCTCCGGAGGGTCTGAGAGAATGTTCAGCTTCTTCAAGCTGGTTGTGACCAGCTCCTCTTGGCTCTCATTCATGAAGTTGTCATCGTCGTAGTCGTCGACGTTGTGGCCGTCCGGGAGGATCGGGCCTTGGCTGAAGAGATCGTTGTTACTGTCTGACGTGCTGCCGCTACTCCGATCCCCAGGTTGCCTCTGGGATATGTTCATCTGTTTCATCTCCTCCCGATGTTTTTTGATGGCCTCGTAGTTGTCAAACAGGTCCTCCGGCTCTGGTTCCTCGGGGTTCTGGTCCACCAGATCAAACGGCAGACTGTCCGCTAAGGAAGGGAATTCCGGCAGGAGGATCCCACCTGATCTGGGCGTGGTTATCTCGCTGGGCTGGGATTTTTGTGTCTGCATGTTGACAAATGGGTTACCGGGGCTGGGCGAGGTACCGTTGAGTTTCATCTCCAGCTCCTGGATGTGTAGGACGAGTTCTTGTTGGTGCATCAGGAGCTCACGGTTGTGGACCATGAGTTGGTGAATTCGTGCCTGTTGAATTGAAACAAAAAGGAGCAGCCTCTTTAATATCAATTTAATCACGGCGGACTTAGCTTTTGCTAAACATGTTTTAGGAATTAATTCAATCATAAAGTAAAAAGTAATTAAATAAGATTAAATCAAAGTACATATTTATCAAATTACCAACAGTATCTGAACCATATCTGACATTTACTCTTTAAGCAAAGAAGATTGCTTGTGCTCTTGAGCAAGGCACTTTACCATTATTGCTTCGTCCTTCGGATGGGACGTAAAGCCGTAGGTCCCGTGTGTTGTGTAATGCACGATAAAGAACCCAGTAACACTTATCGCTAAGAGAAGGGGTTTGCCCCGGTGTTTCTGGCAGTGGCTGCAATGTGCGCCGCAGCACCTTGTAAACCATTATAAGGTGCTACATAATGGGTCTCATATTTCTCATAAACTTTATTTACCTTTCTTTAATAATTGACATAATTTCCAGCGCCTTGAGTACCTAATTGTTGGTAGATACGTGCGCTATATAAGACTCCGTTATTATTATTATTATTATTATTATTGCCTCACAGCCTTGCAATTTCCTTCATTTTTTTCTGTCCAAAGTGGGGATTCACGATACACTGTGCCAGCAAGTGGTCGGCTTCAAGAGGTCCTTTTCATCTTTACCTCTACTTCTGCCATACACTGCTTAGCAATTCTTCATCCATTCACACTGAATAAGTGACTCAATTAAAACTTCCTAATTATTGTGAACCTAGGTTTCAAAAGTTTTCTGGAAAAAGTGGAAAATGTTTAGAACAATTTCATTAGAATCTCTGGTAACACTTTGAATTGAAATAGTTTGGGAAATTGTCTTATTTGGGTGTGGCGACTACAGGCAGTAAGGCCAAAAAAAATATAAAAAATACTTGGTCTCTGGTCAGACCAAAGCTCCGGAATTGATGCGGCGACGCGGCTTTTTTTTTTTTTTTCTTCTTCTTTTTTTTTTTCAAGCTTGGATTGTACAGACAAGGTGGGCTACTATTTCTGCATTTTTTGGTGTCCTCATGTACAATGGTGTCCTCCATAATTTGCCTTGGTGCCCTTGATCATTTGCCTTGGTGCAATTTCCCATTCCTTGGTGCTCCTTGGTACAAAAATTTGAGGAGGTGCGGCATAGAGGCTTCTGTTGGAGCTACTGCGGAAAATTTTGGAATAAAAAGCATTGACGCGCATGAATAAAATCAACGTGCGCGCTGACCAGAGACCGACTATTTTTTTTTATTTTGGCCTAAACTTTTGAGTTGTAGGGAAGTCCATCACAAGTCATCCCATCCCAAGTACAGTCCCAAGCTATTCAATGACCTGTGACAAGGGCATTCCATTGTTATCTTTCATCCTCTGTTGCTTGTAATAGGACTTGGGAATGGTTGTGTCTGAAGTTTTTGGTAGCTCCAGTATCACAGCTCCAGCGGTACCACTTATGATAATGTATTCTTAAGTCAGCGGGCCAGTATGTTTATTCATGAGAACAGCACAACATCAAGATCATCATTGTTATTTAGTCAACCCATTACATTACAGCATTATTAAGAACAGTTGTTGTCAAGCCACCACACAGTATTCAAGTGGATAGGAACATGAGTTATGGATACAAAGATCCCTGGTTTGAATCCACGTCGTCACTGCTCATTTTCTATTGTTCATCTCCGAGTTTATCGTTGAGACAATTTAGTTTTAATTTAAGGGAAGAGAATGAGAACTAGCTAAGTGTCTTGCAATGAGTCAAAGGAAAAACATAAATTATCATAAGTGGTACAACTGGAGTTGTGTAACTGGTGCCACCGAACTTTTTAATGGACATGATACTACAAGACTCGTAACCATGCCTGACCTGCGACTCCATCCTGGCTGAGGTCTCGGCCGACAGCTGGTCTTTCAGCAGCTGCACCTGGGCCAGAGCGACCTGCGTCTGGGCTTCCTGCTGCTGCAGCTGCTGCTGTAAGAGTTGGCGCTGGTGGTAGAGCGACAGCGACGCCATGTGAGACATGCTGGCTTCGTCGTAGCCCATGCCCACCGGCGGGACAAAGGCTGAGAACTGGAAAGATGAGAACAGGGATCGTAACTTGCGACGTGTTTTATACCATTGTCAAGGAACTTACATGTATGTATCTCAAAGCTAATACGACGCGTTGCAAGTTGTGACGTGTTTCGCATCGCAACTCGAGTCTAATGAGATGCAAGTCCTCATTTTATGGACTGTAAACTGACAACATTCTTTCAATAAATTCATAAAAAAAGCCTTTATTCTCAAATATGTTTGCCATCTCATGTCCAAAAAAACGAGAATAACCTGTCCCTTCACTGGCAACTTACTTACGGATGTATGCGACACCCTTCAATGTCTTGCTCTGATATGACAGATACGGTACCTTCCAGTCTATTTTCTCAAAATTCCTTGAGATAATTTTGAAAATTTTGGTGGCCGAACATACAGAGCATGATCACCCAACACAATTCATTTCTAAGTGGGAACAAAATGCCATAGTCATCCCCTCCCCTCTCAATCTACATACCCTCTGCTGTGCGTGCGTCACAAAGAATGGATGCTTGCTCATCATCTCAGGCTGAGCACTGGCCGGCCGTTCTGGCATCTTGACGCCCTGGTCATCCGTCTTGGGTGCTTCCTTAGTGACATCTAACGAGAGTGGGCGGGGCTTGGCCTCGTTGCCCCCATCCACCGCTCGATCTTTATAAAAGTCATGACATAATAAATAATATTAACATGATGCATATAACTTCACAGTTATTACCCCTGCTCAGCATGCCACAGCACCAAATCTCTACAGCCGCTCGAGATCCGTGCAATCTGGTCTCTACCCTCACAGATACCCATTTATACTCCTTGGTGGAGATCCAGAGGCAATTCTTGAAAAGCGTCTTGCATTAGAACACAAACACCATGCTCCCCTGTCAGGGTTCGAACCCATGTCCATCGCACACGAATCTGGTGCAAGTAACCGTTGACCAACCTCGTTCCCCATGGGTACGATCTTGCTGCGCCATGTTGTTTCCCATCATTTCTTGCGCGATATTAACCCCTGGATTTGTCTCATTTAAATGTGTCAAAATATGACACATTATTATTAGGGCTGTAGTCGATGTATATAACGCGTTCCATCTTTAAAAAGTTGAAAGTTGTGTTTTTGAAGAATCAATCCTTTGAAACATAAGGTGTCGACACCATGTTATTTAGCAAGGATTTGTATTACATTGTAAATGTACTGACTCTTTCATCCCATTAAAACTGAAGATAAAGGGTTTTTTTAATCCAAAAAAGAGGTTGCCTTAATCCATTTTGTACAGGCATTTAGCAGTTTTGAAAAAAACAAAATGTTCGTGACGTGACCTGCAAAGCACGTGAGCGCATTATGGGCGTGCAGTCTTCGAAATGCGCGCGCAGTACGCTCTGAATTGCCAGACAGCATCGTTTATGTGTGCATCACAGCCAGGGGTAAGTGCAAGGAACGCGCACGCGCCCATGGAGTCGAGGCTGCCGTTTGACCACAGTGCACTACAAGTCAGATTCTTATTTTTATAAGTGAAATCAAAGATTTCAAAACGATGTGATTATGTGATGTGTAGCACTGCCTCGGCAGCAACATCACCCACTTATACCGGTATGTAAGATGCCAGCCACTCATGGAATGGTTCGCTCGGTTTCCCCCTTCGGTTTCATTGATGATTTGTATTATTACCGTATTCTCTCAGAGTGATCCCCGTTTGCTATTTCCTAGGTTAGCAGCATTGCTAATGTTGCTAACATCATGATTCTGGGCGGGATCCCTGGCTACAGATACAGGTTTTGATTGTCGAACCAGTATTGAGTCCCTGCAAGTCATATACCGATACATGTACTAGTTCATCACAAGTCTTTCAGTCTATAGTCAAGTCACTAGCTAAGCAAATGAACTGTTACAAAAGCATTCCTTTGTCATTGTTCACCCAGTTACTTGTGACCGGCTTTATGAAAGGACTCATAAAAGGACTTGTGAACGGACTTGTAAAAGGACTTGTCATGGACTCGAATACAACACTGAGGGATTCTGAATAGCACCCTTGAACAAACCCCTTGATGACAACATGGGGAACCGCCATGGCTGGACAGCTCAGTTGGAAGAGCATCGGTGCGGCTTTCTGGAGGTCACAGGTTTAAATCCCGCTCCAGTCAATTTGTTGAACCTTAATTGTAGTCAAAAGCACCACGTAGTTTCCCTTCGGGGTTTAATTGATGAAAACAAAACAGAACCAAACAAAAACAACATCAAGAAGGTTCTGCCAAGCGTACAATACTCACTGTGGGCGGGGCTGGGTTCGGTAGCCTGTTCCTCACCCTGTTTGTCGCTCTCTCCGTCGGCCTGTCCGTCACCTGTTGTGGACGCGTGCTGGACGCTCAGCTTGTGGCACACCTCGAAGGCTTGGCCAATGCTGCGCACAATGCGCATAGCTTGACTCTGGAGAGCGGAACACAAGAAATCAGGTACATGTAGAGTGATACTAGGCGAGTTTGAAAGTTGGACTCAGTAAAAAAACATAGGCCGGTTTCACAGTGATAGTTAACAATTTTAAAGATGTTCTTTCCCTGGTGCCACACAAAGAAAATAGATTCAGATTTCAGTTTTTAAATTGCAACACTTACAAAAGTTGTTCCATTTTGAATGAGACCTCAACAAAAAATGGCCAGCATTTACATGTAGTTATAAAATGATTACTTTACAAATTTTGAAATTACAAGTACGCGTTGCCCAACAATAATTCAGTTCTCACAGCACTGACAGTACAATCTTACATTTAAGTCTCACACATTTTAAAGGTTTTTCCCCCATATCTGTTATTTTCTATAATATCTTACATACTTTTGGGCCTCTTATTGCATTGGCTTGTACGGTAGCTGGCAATGACAACTATACCGCTTGATTTTTTTTTTTTATTATTACAAATTTTACACTAACAATATCCACAGCAGCAGAGAAAGGAAATGCTTATTTTAGACAGGGTCCCATCATGAATTCGATAGAGCGCCCTCTTGTGATGGGATATTGCACATGCATTTAGAAATGAACTCCACGTACATGTATTTGTGTACGGTACTTGTACAAATCCAAAAAGTCAAGAATTTGCCAAATGTTCATGCATTTCTTGGCTGTTGAGTCCCGTAATCCCTTTTCGGGTACTAATAACATGTACAGGTATGACAACTCGATGTCCACATTTTGTTTAATGTACGGACAAGGTCAGGGACTCAGTGCAAATAATACATGACACTTTTTTTGTGAGTGCTTAATTTCAAGAGCCAGTGGCAGGGACACACCTTGTTTTTGCATACCTATGGCTTGAAGTAGGCACAACAATTTTATTTAGAAAATTTGCATCTTCGCATATGAGCGTCAGACGCCATCGGTGATGCATTCGAATGACTATCACAGTGGTCTCCCTACATTATTTTGTGCAAATAACCATTCCTTTGAAATGTACATGTACAGCGCGCCCCAAATACCCACAACATTTTGTTTTGCGAGGCTCTATCGTTGCCGCGGAAACACGTACCGCCATTATCTTTATATCATTTTAAAGCTTGGAGTCTTAACTTTACCCCTGGTATTGGTTTGATTTCGAAAAGGGCTTTGAAATTATTCGTGTTCAAAGAAAGGCATGTCAAAAACAACTCAACCGATTTCACAGAAAATCAATCATGCATATTTTTTTCTAATGTGGAAATGGTTCATCATGTTTATGATATGACGATCTTGTTGCCTTTTACTTTCTGTGTTCCCTTTTCTTTCAATCCACGTGGACTACGCCTTAAATAAATTCACAATATTGTTCATTTCAAGTTCAATGTGTATCAACACGTTTTTTCATTTATTTGTTATTTCAACCGCTCATTGACTCGAGTTGCATCTGATGTAACGCATCATGGAATTCCCTTGAAATCGGTTGAAATTGTTTTTGACATCCCTCTATTTGAACACGAATATTTTTAAAACTCTTTTAAATATCAAACTAATACTCGCCAGGCATAAAATTAAGATTCCAAGCTTTAAAATGGTGTACATGTAAGAACAATGGCGGTACCTGTTCCTGTGCGCACGCTAGAGCCTCACCCAAAAAAAATTGCAGGTATTTTGGGACACGCTGTATTGAAATGACACATCCCTTTTTGGTTTACAATTTATGTAAATTTATGTTAAGCTTTTAATCATTTCATGTTTTTTTTCTCACAACAAAGCCATTGATGCCATTCAAATAGTGAGCCCAAAGTTTTGCTCATTAAAAACATGTTTGCATAAATTAATATTGGTCTCCGTCATAGTCTGACTTCTGAAACAACAATGGATCACCAACTCAGAAAATTTACAAGGGCAAATATCTGCCTTGAATGACATCATACTTTTTTTTCATGAATACGGAAATTCGCATCAGTACCAAAAAAGAGTAGAAAATCAAATTTGAAAATGACAATATAATGATCGAAATAAAGTAAAATGGGACACAAAAGGAGCATTTCGAGGATTGCTTGAAAAGATGTCTATTATTTGGGCCCTTTGAAAACCAGGAGACCAGCCTGAGGAGATACTAAATCAGTGACGGTATCTAAACTCCGTATCAATCGATTCAAAGCCCCCAGTGAAACTCAATCCTTAAAATTGTTCGTGTGGAGGATCCGATAGCATCAGAAGGCTCATGTTTCATTCAAAATATTTTCCAGAAGCCGGTGAGCTTTTCTAAAGAGCATTATGCATTGATGTCTATTTGTGATCTCCGAAAGGAACTGAACTGTACACTAAACAGCATTGCACTTGATTTTCATTATACAATCTTATAAATTTCAAATGCCAAATTTGCATTGCAATATACATGTACATGTACTTCGGAATACTTTATGTACATTTTGATCACTTTTGGATGATTTTTCATATGAATTAAGTTATCAGAATTGTAATGTATTCAGTGCATTGTTTTGACTTTCATTACACTTGATTTTCATTATACAATCTTATCAATTTCAAATGCCAAATTTGCATTGCAATATACATGTACTTCGGAATACTTTATGTACATTTTGATCACTTTTTGATTAACCCGAGCCTCACCTAAAGCTACAAAATATAAGTGGGCACAGAACTCATAATAGTTTTTGGTATTTGGTGCCTGCATACATAATTTTTGCAGTATTTTGTAGTACTCAGTTCTTTATCCCAAATTCATAAATACCTAAGACAGTTTAGGCATTCCTATTGGTCAAGCGCCCGTCACGTGGCCGGTCTTAAACGGATGATAAAGACATGGCTAGCTGGTCTTAAACACTTTTCCAGTGTCACATGAAATTTGGACTCCCATGAAATCCAGTGCCTTTTAACGTTTCATTGATTGAACGTTTAAATTCCCCACGTATGCATGTGCAATACTGCCAGTGAATCATTATTTCATACATGTAGTCCGATATTCACACTACACCAGCCCAGCTGCGTTTTGCACGACATCGCGCAGTATCGCACGACCATGGAGTTGGAATGCTCGACGCGCACGCAATTGCAGAGGGGCATTCCATATTATAGTCAGAGGAGTGTTTCGTAAAACTTGAAGTAAAATTGTTGAACAAAATGGTTAACAACGTCTAGTTTTTGACTTGTTTTGATTTTTGGACCGAAAAGATTGTTTTTTTTTACCAAAAAGGTATTCATGAATGGGAATAAATATGTGTTCCATCGGTATTAAACACTCTGTTTAAAACCGGTGTGAGTCTGGATGGGTGATTATCACCCATCCCAACTCACACCAGTTGTAAACAGAGTGTTATAATACCTCCGAAACACACTTTTATTCCCTTAGTAATGGCTACGACGTAAGGGTGAATACATGTTTAAGTCATTTATTGAGAGGGTTAAATACAACGAATGCAAAAAGCGTTGGATTTTTGTCTTTAAGTTCTCAGTTCTTACAGTACATGAGTCACGATCTTCCCAGGCACTTACTGCCTGGATACATGGAGTTGAAAGTAGTCACGTTAGATTTTTTTTATGAGCCCAAAGGAAATTGTTCCAGACAGCTCTGTGCATCAGTGTCACATGAGAGTGGTCGTCAGTGATAATGTGATCATGTATCGGCAATTACTGTTAATAGTGACCTGAAGTCTTTGTACCGATTCTGACAGCTTAAGTGGGAACGGATTTTTTCCCTAATGTGATAAAAGTTCAACTTGCAGCACTTAGCCAAATACATGTAAGAAACGGTGCACTTTCCTGCAAAGACAATGGGTGGATTCCAATTCAGATAAAAATTACAATGTTCACACACACACACACTGCGTCCTTCACACTGGGCCGCAAAGTGCCTTCTGTCCAAGTCCTTTTTTTCTGTGTTCTATCTCACCAAGATCTCTTAAACTCTTGAAATTCACCCTCTTATCAAAATAAAAAACCACCAAAAAACCCTAAAATCGAAAGTCATTTCCCCCCTTTGTGATGGTACATTTTGTAATTAGTGACCTCATAGTCTATTGTCTCCCCCCATCACAATGTAACACATTTTCACAATATTGACGTGAGTGATTTTGATGTTCAAAAATGTATGTAAGGTGTCGCGTCATCAGAAATGACAAAGCAACTTTTAAAGGAATCCTACAAATTGTCAGTCAGATTTGCTCATAAAATGCTTTTTCCTAAGACCCTTCCACTGAAAAGCAAGGACAGAGGAGGGTACATCTTTTTTCATGCTGCCTTGCAAAATTGTTTTCTTAAATTCTACCTTTTCAGAGAGAAATCTAACTATACAGAAAATATTGTTTTTGTTAAAAGGTATCCTAATCCAAATTCTGTAAAACAAACATTCTTTCCGAAAAAAAATATATTTTGCTCTCTCGCAGACCTGAAATCCCTTTAAAAACTCTCTTTCACAACCTCTGCCTCATCCCCCGAGGGCAGTATTTAACTAAGGTGCTTAGACTTTGCGCATCAGTGACGGTTACGGCTCCCGCCAGGTTGCAACTAATCAACCGCGCAACGATAAAAAAATAATAATAACCGGATTCCTACACGCAGGAAACAGTTCATGGGTCTAGCTCCCCGTACCTTCTTATGTGATTTGAAGACATTGCACTTGAAGATATTCGTCTGGCCGTCGCGGGCAATGTAGCTGAAGATTTTTAGGTCCTGGGAGTCGTGTGAGACATAGAAGACCCTGGAAAGTGGGGAAACAGGGGGAGAGGTCATTCCACGGCTATGATCCCAAGTTAATGGATGATGACAATGCATGCACTAGACTTTAGAACAAAAATATGAATAAACAGTAGCTAAGAACACAATATTCATTTACATGTACTTCAACAAAAACATACATCTGCCTTGCAACTGGACTACACAAACATGTACATTGTACAAGTACCGTACATGTATAATTTTATAATAGATAAAATCTCATAGTATAGCACTTACATTGTAAATTGGTCTTCAAACAACAGAAACAAAAATGTCTTATTAAGCCAAACCACCAAGCATATCAGAGAATTAAAAAGATAGAAACTAAATCAGGCTCATTTAAAAAAAAAAAGGATTTATAAAACCTAAAAATATAATAGAATGATAGTTTTAAAGATGTACATGTACGTCTCAATCCAAACAAAAAAATGAATGTTTCCGAGTGCAACGGTAAGAACAATTTCATGAGGTGACAGATGAAATGTTTTATTCTACGCGACGAAAAATGGAACACTCCTGTCACTGTAGGAAATTATTCTTTCCATTACACAAAATGTGAAAAATGTATCTACCGCAGTATTTGTTTTATACAACACAGATCCCGGACATCTGATCCGTCAGAACCATCAATCGTGTGACCATGCAATGGTATTTTTATTTACCGTGGAATAGAACTTCTGTTGATGACGTGCGGACGGGACAAATAATTCAATGTCAATTAAGTGATCAACGACCCACGCATGACATGACAGAGATTAATTTATGCAGGCGTTGTATAATTATGATATACCCGGTACACTGTAGGCCTATAACATGGAATTAAAATATCAAATTTTGACAAACACATGTACTGCTACTGGTGCATTGTAAAACTCTATTTGCAGCCATATCAAGAATGGTTGATTCTGTATTCTAAAAAGTTCTACACAATGCAGAAAAAAATACTCTCTCTCCTTCAACGAAAATAACTCATGTCCCTAATATTCCATGCATTCTAGACCCAATCCTTCTCTGCACATTTATTTATGGTTACACCTCTATGTTCCGACACCCCTACATGTATGTTCCGACTGCACATATTCCTATTCCTAACCCTAACCCTAACCCTAACCCTAACCCTAACCGGGAGTAACACAATCTAGGTTGTCGGAACATAGGGGTGTCGGAACATAGAGCAGTCACCTTATTTACTACTACATGTACTTTAATACATCATGTACAGGAATAATTCATTGGTAGATCACCAGCACAGTCATCTTCGGAGCCGTTTTCACCCTTCTTAAGATGAGCACTCCTGATGTAACCCTCTGTGAAGATGACTTTTGGGAAAATATTCACTTAGTTGCAGAACATGTTTCCGTCAAGAACATCTATCTGTCAAGAATTGTGGGCTCTGAGGTCTCTGGACTTCAGGACCAGACTTTGGTGGGTTAAACCAGTTTGATGGGTACCCAACCGTCCCCTTCCCTCAGAGCATATTGCTGGTATTGGTAGCAATTCTATCTGTCTGAATGCCTTCGAGTTCCTGCATAGCCAGATCACATAGCTTGCTCTCAAGGCAGTCTTAGATGCTGTGTCCATAATGGTTTTTCGTTTCTCACTTGGGACTCCCAGGGAGACGAGGCACTTGCTCAAGGACATGTTGTAGAATCCTCTGCTTCCTACTTCTACTGGAAAATAGTACACAGACCATCCCCTATTCTCGCATTTGGCTATGAGCTCTTGATATTTTCAATACACACATGTACATGTATGTAGATGATGAACTACGGTATGCCGCAATTATTCAATGTATTGATAAAAGAAACATGTTTTCCCTATCCAACATCCCCCCCCACAATCCTGCATGCCCAGCAACTCTACAGACATTGCATACCAAGCAGGGATCTAAAACCACTCATTGATTTGGCCTTCCAGCTCATGATGTCAACAAGCATGCTCTTGCATTCTAAGCGCATTTCAATAATGTGGTACTGCATGGTTGTCATGAAATCCTGGATTGAAAAAAAGGCTTCTGCAGGGGAGTGGAATTTCTAAGCTGTTGAGCTAGCAACAACAAACCGAGTCAGCCCAAGAAAACAGTGGACAAGATCCCCCCAAATGGGCCTGGGATTTGAAGTACGCGTACATTAAAATGCCTTTGGGCTATCAACGACTGACATACCGGGTACATGTAGAATATTTCAATACACACATGTACATGTAGTAAACAACTTACAATACATTTTTGTACATGTACATGTACATGCATGGGTATACAAAACATGTACATGTACAGTGTATGATCAGGCAACTGATTTTGTAATGATTGTGTTCATCATAAAACCTGTGTCCTTTCAGCGTAATATCCCTGACGTTCTTTGTAATTATTGTATTTAATTAAGTTATCATGACTTATTCAAATGCACAGGGCATGGTAATAATAATACTGTAAGCGCTGTGATTTAGTTTACTAATAAGGGCGTTCTAAAATGCCGATTATTATTATTATTATTACAGGGCATCATGTTAGGTACAGACTAGCCTTTGGTCAAGTCCCACGCGCCTATACCCGGACCATGCGGACACATAACGCACCCTGGATGCTGGCACGTAAAAAGACTAGCACGAGCGGCAAAGCCGCGAGGGCCTTTACTATCTCGTGGAACTAATCACTTATTCATTTATTCACCTACATTTGTAATATAAATCAAGCAATATACATTTAAACCAATCATCTAACGGTGGTTTGCGGTTACCAGCAACAGCACACGCGCCATGGGGCACGTGCTGTCTGGCGCCAGACGACGGCTGCATGATTTACGTTTAGTAATTCTGCATTTTCATTGGTCAATTCACAACGGGTAATGCATTATGCATGTCTACCAAATCGGTAGACAAATGTAAAGAAAAACATAAGCGTTCTCCACGAGATGGTAAAGGCCCTCGCCGCTACGCCGCTCGTCCTAGTCTTTTTACGTGTCAGCATCCGGGGTGCGTCACGTGTCCGGGTAAGCGCGTGGGACTTGACTAAAGGCTAGGTACAGACAGACTTGCACTGCATGTTAATAGAATATAACAAAACAATCAAACAAATGAAACCTCTAAGTTAGTTAAAGTGATTAATAAAGTCTAGAAACTCTCCAAATGTAAGGTCCATGGCAGTGGTGATGCCAAGTGGGAAAAAAAAGACACATTCTGCGTTCGTTTTGAACTCAGAATTGGCCACAAGTTAATAACAAACTCTCCAGTCCCAATAGTCAACTCACAAGCTAAATGAACTGAGACGACTACATTCCTTTGTGAATTGACTTGTGAAATGACTTGTAAGTGATGGACTCAATTACGAGTCTGCTGAGAATTCATCTAAATATTGAATAACAAAAAATGGTTGGATTTCAATTTCATTCCTTGTGTTTGATGCAGTGTTTCCCCTGCCCATTCAAACGTGAGGCGGCCCACCTCGCTACTTTCAGTGACCACCTCGCTCAATTTTTGCCAATATCACCACCTCGCTGTGAAGGTTTGCAATAAAGGAAATACTCAATTATCAAAAAAAAAATTATCAAGTTGTGTAAATTTATTAGCGTTTTATTAAGAACTCCCAATTTGGGGAAGATGGAATCATTACGCTTTTTTGTGAGCGTGCATTCTTTTCAGTTTGTATAGACTGCGTAAGTTTCAATCATCGATTTGAATTTTTACCACCTCGCTCAGTTCATTAGCCGGGGGAAACACTGGTTTGATGAAAAGTTTTCCTTTTCTTTTTTTTATTCGTGGTCCTTACCTGTAAACAGGGTGATGCATGATCAGCAGTTTCTCGTCATCCCAATCCCAAGATTTCTTCTGAAAATGAAACACACAGCTGTCAATTCAGAGAGAAAGATTTCAGGCTCAATTTAAAAAGTGGTGTACTTTCGGTCCGAAGGTTCGATTATCCGAAGGTTCGATAGTCCGACTGGCCCATTAGTTCGAATATAGAATAAGGTTAATTAATCCAAAGGTTCGATAGTCCGAATAGACGATAGGGTTCGATAGTCCGTCCAATCGACAATAAGGTTCGATAGTCCGAATAGATGATAAGGTTCGATAGTCTGAATGGGCAATACGGTTCGTCATTATGACACTTCGGACTATCGGACCTTACTGTTGATTCGGACTATCAGACCTTATTGTCGATTCGGAATAATGAACCTTCGGGCTATTGAACCTTATTTTCGTTTTGGACTATCGAACCTTTGGACTGATTTACCTTATTCTAAATTCGGACTATCGAACCTTCGGATAAATGAACCTTCGGACTAATGAACCTTCGGATTAATGAACCTTCGGACTATTGCATCAAATGTTTGGATTAACAAACCTTATTTCATTTTCGGACCAACGAACCCCCTCTTATGAAAATTGTGTGCATTCCGACTATTGAACCTTCGGACTAAAGAACCTTCGGAATATCGGGCGGCCCCCGTACTTTCATGGGACATCTCTATTAAGCATGTCCATTGAAAATTTATAGAGAGATGAATGAAACTCCAAATGAGCTCAGAAAAAAAATAACTACATGTACATGTATGACAGTCAAAACCTCTAAAATCATACAAACTACAGCTGTCGGATATTTAAACGCGGACAAAACAAAAGTGGACCCCATGTGCAACATACAATGTATGACAGTTTTCATACTGCAATGTACATGTACAGTACATGTATGTTCAGTAAGATTTGAGGCTTTGCATGGTGGAGATACTAAATAATGAAAGGTTTGCGGAAACACCATGTGCGAATAATTTCTCAACTAAGAGAATGGTTCTGAAAAGAACCAGAGGTATAAACTCGACGTCCCGGTCAGTATGCTCTGATCGTCTTCAGGAGAGTGCCTCTAAGAAAGTGAATACTTAAGTAGCAAAAGGCGAAATCAATGAAGTGTGGAGTTGCATCCTGTGAGGATGCCAAGTAGACGGGATCCTAGAGCAAGCTTGGTGCCCACTGAAGTGGAACAGTAGGGTTGCAGTGTCAGTAGAGGGAGGACCTAGGGTATAGGAGACCCATCAGTCTAAGGTGATAGCTGAGGACCTAGGGTATAGGAGACCCATCAGTCTGGAGGAGTGGGAGCCAGATGTCGTTGAGGTGAAACCCGATGTCTTGCGGAACTGTGCTGTGCTTGCGGATCTCGATGGCTTCCCGTATGCGTCTTGGCTTCCCGTATGCGTCTTGGCTTCCCGTATGCGTCTTGGCTTCCCGTATGCATCTTGGATGCCAGAACTGGATCGGTGCGATGAGTTCGGCCGCATCCCAATCAACTTTGTGGTCGTTGTATGTTCCCAAAATATAAATGTAGATGCCCCAGGTTTTACACTCTCACCTGATTTTTTTTTATATTTTTTTTTATTTGTGGGTGTCTGCACAATGAAACTAATTACACACATGTATTAAAGGTACATTTTGTACAAACAATTTGTAGAGGACATACACACTTACCAGTACATGGACACATACATGTACGGTACATTTTACAACTTGCTAACTCCCAGCCCGGGGCCCCTAAATTGAACAGAAATATATGACAGACTTGAGTGACAAGGCACAGGTGGCTGATAGTCTGTATATTTAGCCGAGAACTCATTTCACATTTATTGGTAAGAGTCCGGATGTTTGGCCTAAAAACATGCCATTTCCTTTTCACTGATTAGTATTGAAGTGGGTTGTTGCGTACATTTTTATGCCCGAGTGCTTCCTGAATGCGTGCTCACGTTTGTGTATTATGGCAAAAATGTAAAAAAAATGCCATGTACTTGGTGAATAATTTCGAACCGGTAACTAATTTTTCAACTATTGGAAATTCTGGTCAATAACTGTACATGTACATGTACGTTATATTTGAGCCCATCAAAAGTTTCACCACAAGTACATATACATGTACATGTACATGTACATGCATATGTACGGTACGTCACCAGTCAATTTGAAAGTCTGGTATCGGTAACATCAGGCATGCAACTTGGAAGAAACACAAAAACGAGGAAACTCCAATCTTTACAAGACAATTTTACAGTGTTTTTCAATTTTGAATGGCATATATATACATGTAAGTGTGAAGTGAAAAGCGAGGACATCGGCTGATTTGAGGAAAAGTTGTATGCCTGTATCATGTTAGAGAGAGTGAACCCTATTTTTCGTAGTTCATTTGCGAAGCTGCAGGGGACACGAAATGGGACTGGATAATACGGTACATTACATAAAGGGTATGATGGACTTGTGATGGACTCACCTACCGGTACAACTACATGTCATACGCTGGGTTATTTTAGCCTCATTTACTGACAAGGTTGGTTTAGGAATGGTACTAGTCACATTTGATTAAATGTATGTAAAGTCCGACCATCAAGATTTGCTGAGTTAGATCTTTTTCCAAGGTGAACTTTGTTACTGCCCTAATTGGTACATGCATGCACATGTAGCAATTTGTAGTTTTGGAATTTTTTTTTTTGGCCTAAAGTGGCATGGAATTAGAGCCCGGTTAGCACCTGCGAGACAGGCTTTGGTTTGATGACAGCCTGGATAGGCAGAGATGGGATGAGTCAGAGGGGATTAAGATGACATGGTTTCACATCCTCTCTGCATCCATGTCCACAACAGACTATTTGGGGTAAAACCACTGATCTCGATATAATTTTACAAAGACTGGATATAGTGGATAAACAGCCGCACAATAAATTCATTTGACGCAATATTGGTGAGACAGGCTGGTGATCTATAAAGGACAAGTTGCCGTCTTTGTAACATCATGGTTCCACCTGGCTGACCACGTTTCACAATTTGTCAAACATCGTGGTTAAGTTTTGAATGCCGCAGTTCCCCTTTGTACAACGTTTGTAAATACAATCACGACAGAAATGTGTCCTTTAGATCATCACAACACGTGTACGTGTACGTGATCAAAATGCGCGTAAATTCACGATACAGCGCGCTGTCTGCACGTGCAGAACGTTTGTATATATACGCAGCCAGTTTTGAAAGACCGGGGACGAAGTGGTCAAAATGTAAACTCAAGCCTGTGACTCATGTATGGGTATCTGCTATCCAGTCTTTATATAGAAATCAGAGTAAGACCAACCGAGGCAATGGTTACTCAGTGGAAACAGCCTGGAAAACTTTCCTCTCAGTTACCGGTACATGTATGGCCGGCTCCATGCTCAAACAAGAGAGGGCGCTTTTTTACCGCTTTTGAAAAACCTGTGGATGGGGCACACTGTGTGCACTTGCTGATTCATTCAGCATTAATTGCGTTTGAATGTCTCTCTCCAGTGGTCCCCTTCAACACTCCCTTTCTTACTGAGTTGAGGGGCTAGTAAGCACAGAGCCCATAATACGGTACTTTGTCTGAGCCGAGTGGTTGCTTTTAATGGCCAAGATTTAAAAAAGTGTTTCTAAACTTTAAGAAAAAAATGTTTTAATTGTTTTTAAAAACAATCCTGCGGCTGATGTCTGCAACTCTTGCCTGGGAAAATCTCTTTTCGACACAACTGTAGAATAATCACAAGAGACCGATTCAACACTACCAGCGTACTTGTATGCGCACAATTTTTGCTACAAAAACCTATTTGCAACTGGACTAAAACTTGGCTCGGCCTTGAAAATTTGGGCTCGGAATTGAGCTGGACTCGGAGAAAAAATGTAGATGAAGGACTTGGCTCGGACTCGAGGGTTTGTGGCGTCGGCTCGGCTTGAACTCGGTTTAGACTCAACTACATCACTGATATATGATGAATTATGGCCTATTAGATTTTAACTGCATAAACCATAGGAAACTCCATCCTTATTTGCCACCTACTTTCTTCTTTTTCTTCCGGAGGGTGACTTTGATGCCATCCACCGAGATCGTGAGGACGACTTTCTTCTTGCGGATGGCCTTGGCTTTGAATTCATACTGAAAAGACAAAGAAGAAAAAAACAAAAAACAAAGAAAACTTAGATTAGTATTTCCTTACACATTCATTTGTATGTTCAAACTCCGGGAAACGAGAGGCGAAAGAGAAATGTTTGGTCAGTGTTAGAAAGGCTGATGTACATGTACTAGTCTTCGAACAAAATCCGTATCTTTCTCAAAGCAACATGATGTACATGTACACACGTACAGTAGTACAATGTAACCATACGACAGAAACATTAGGCCAACCTTATTATGGGGATTACATGTACCCGGTATCAAACTTTTAAACCAAACTTTCAGAGGTGCAACATGTAACTGGCCAGCCAGCCATTGCAAATTTAAAAACTGGGGTGGGGGGGGGGGGGCACATGGGGCTGGACCTCATTTGACTCTTGGAGATACATTTGTTTCCCCTTTTTCCTCTATTAATTCTTGGAGAGCATTTTGATTATCTTGCTTACATGTGTAATAGTCTTGGAACAATGTGACAATTATTACAACTTGTCAATTTGACATGTGCCAAAACATGACCCTTTATTTTGGTTGCTTTTCTGTATAATATTTCAATTTAACCACGCTGAACATACATTTGTAAACAGAAGTTTTTGTTGGAATTGGACACAAAAGGCTTTTTATTGCAATTTTTCCTGCAAGTCAGGGCATTCCCCCCTCCGTAAAGCCTACGGTAGATGATGACATCGGCTGTGATAAAGTCATGACCTACCGGTACACTTCAAAACTGAAAGTTTTCTGGCCAGATTTCAAAATCCGGTGGAGTCCCAATTTCCTTGCCTAACAATGGCCTAGGCTCTAGCTGACCACATATCCAACAGACCACTAGCCTTGATCGTGTAGATTAGGATACACTATGGGCATCATTGCTCAATTAACAACAAAAAAGTTCAGAGAATTCCCAAGCAATTATGCAGAAATTCAAATTCACCCCTACTCTAATCAAAATCTGCTTTCCAACAAAAATAAATACATTGACTTGTCAAGATCTGTACATGTACATGTATGTATGTAGCTGGGAACCACTGCCAAAATCAATCCTACCAGTTCAACACTTGTCACTTTAGATTTCCCAGCTCATATATAAAACAATTTACTGGATAATATGGCCTTTGCACCTCAAGGCAAGCAATATTGTAACACAGTGCATGACCTTACATAAACCCTGTCATGCAGTTAGATGTGGAATTTTGACCTTTCCCCCTCCAAAGTAGAGAGAATAAACAGTCCAGTTTTTGCTGAGGGATCACAACTGGATTCTTGAGTCAAATTTCTTTCCCAGACAGATTGTTGTATGATCTATGTCTATACATGTACATGATTCATTTACATGTACACGTAATCAGTTAACATGGGTTGGTACGTGTACATGTACATGTAATGATTTATTACTTCAATCGAACAAAGAGTACTGAACTCTTCATTGAAGGTTCCAATATAAAAATTCCTGAAGCCCAACACAAAAGTGATGAAGATCTCCATACTCTTTTAAAGGCATAGTAGAACATTTGTAGTTTGTGAAATTTCTGTCCCAGTTTCAACCAATAAAAGTGCTCAAAATCTGAATACGGATGCATCATACGGTAACTAACTGGACACATTTTTAGCTCTGTCAATGCTGTAGATTCTGGATTTTGATTTCAATCCCAAAGTTGCTGTGGGGTGCTGTGGTCCAATGGTTACGGTGTTCGACTCGTGTGCCATGGTGCATGGGTTCGAATCCTGACCGTGGGAACATGGTGCTTGTGCTCTTGAGCAAGGCACTTTACCATTATTGCTTCGTCCTTCGGATGGGACGTAAAGCCGTAGGTCCTGTGTGTTGTGTAATGCACGTTAAAGAACCCAGTAACACTTATCGCTAAGAGAAGGGGTTTGCCCCGGTGTTTCTGGCAGTGGCTGCAATGTGCGCTGCAGCACCTTGTAAACCATTATAAGGTGCTACATAATGGGTGTCATATTTCTCATAAACTTTATTTACCTTTCTTTAATAATTGACATAATTTCCAGCGCCTTGAGTACCTAATTGTTGGTAGATACGTGCGCTATATAAGACTCCATTATTATTATTATTATTATTATTATTATTATATGATATTTTGATTTGTGCCCTCTCGTGAAACAATCTCGCAATCAGCATTTGGGACATGATTCTCATTCAGCTGGTTAATTGTCAGCCATTCACGGATTTGTGCCCAACTGCAAACCAACTACAAATTAGACTTCATGGGGCGGATTCACGGAAATTCCCAAAAACGTGTCACTTGACACAGCTGTGGAAATTACCTTCTTTTATGGTTTTCTTTAAAATGACCATGCCAATACTGGCCCAGAAGGAATAATTTCAAAGGATGTCTAGTGTCATACTATCTTTAAAACCAATTAAGTAAGCCTTCTCACAAGAATAATTTTGTGGAAAGCTGCACTGGTATACTACCTACACTGTATAAGGTTTGAACAACGAGAAAAAGGAGTGCCTTCAATTTGGAATGCAAGACTTGCGCAGGAACTCGTTTCAATGACTCATGCTTTTCCTTGGGCCAAAGTTCCTTTCGTCAATACTCCATTGCGCATTTGCCCTTTCCTGCCATGACCTGTTGTCGTTTCTTTCTTTTTTTAGTTCTAAGACTTGAAAAGGGAAAGCCTGGAGCCGGCATCATTTATGGGTCAACTCATGCATGTGTAAGCAGGGGTCCAATTTCATACAGCTGCAATGCAGAAATTTCTGCATAAACATCTTACTCTGACCATAGAGCAAGGTTCTAAGGGTCTACTGGTACCTTCAATCTAGAGACAACACTAGACCCTGGGAGGGTACTTAGCTACCTGTATTCTGATCCGATCATGCATCGGCAATGGATTTATGTTGTGTAGAGTGATTTTGTTTTCAAACATGTGTAAGTGAAGATGTTCATTGTGATCCTCCCTCCTAAAACAATTCTCCCATTTCAAATGTACTAATTATTCTAACGGGCAAGATCGTCACACTAGAACTTTGGTGAGAAAAATTCATTGCCATCTGCCATTCCATTCATGTTTTTACTCTTTTTTTTTAAGAAAAACAAATGGAGTTTACATGTACTTTTCCTGGTCCCATCACGAACTGAAACTGTACTTAGGTAACGGGGCTTCCAGTTTTGTTCTGTCTTCATTCTCTTGCGTTTGTGTGGTTTTATTTTCTGCTGTTCTTTCAAACATAACAAAGCATGAACATGTACTTGTGCTATAGCCTACAACAGTGCTGAGCACATTTGTGGGTTTATTTAACATTGACACTTATGAGAATTTGGCCTGATGATCGTCAATGAGACACAAGGCCAGAAAGGTGTCTTCCCACCTAGACAAAAATATTTTTAAGATTCTTTTTTTCAATTTCTTTTCACTTTTGAAAATCGTCATTTCTCTCCTGCAGTCTCATGCCAATTCCATCCTCAACCTCAACCTGTTACATGTACATGTTTACATGACCAACAATAAACACCGGGCAAAAAAGTAACCCCTGCAAAAGTGGTGAAGCGATGAAGTCTGAAAATGAAATTTGACGAGCTTACGGCGACCAACCATATTGATTTGAATTGGCGGGTGGGGGGGGGGGGGATTTTTAGGCATACTAGCTGTGAAACGATTTCCAATTCCAAAGTGTCCCCCGAGGATTGTTTAAGATTCACCAGCTGCCTCAAACGCATGGATTTGTTTTTCTACTTTTCTGTCCTGGCAGACCCTAAGGATTGTTTTCTGTTACTATTCATCTAGTTTTATTTTAATTTCCTGAATATTTCCGAAATTGTTTCCTTTTTTGTTTTTTGTTTTTTGTTGTTTTTTTTACAAAAGTAGTAATGTAGTACTCTTTTATTACTACATTTGGTACTTCTCATTAAGCCTACATATGTAACTTTCTCGGCATTTACAGGAAGGCCTTCTAGGGATCATTTGCTTTTTATTATTTTGTATTTTTTTCCGTTTCAAGCAACAAAACCTGTTGTGGTTTCAGCTCTGTGGATACTCAACATTTGGGAAACGGAGAATACATGTGGACAATTTTTGGGGTGTCGTCACTTCCGTCACTTCCGTTGCCAATTGGTGCCCTATAGCCTCTATAGGGCACCCTATTTGAAACCACCTTGGAACTATTTTAGGCAGAATAATTTCGCAGGGTACAAAATGTATTTGATGCAGTCCTAACTTCACTTTCTAGGTTTCTGTCATTATATCGTTACCATTATCCGCATTGAGGCCCCAGCCTGTTTCAATGTATTTGTTTAAAACCAATTAAAGGGAATATATACATCATTTGCTTTTGCTGTAATTTTCCAAGAAAAAAACCAAGAAAAACAATCATTTTCCTGTAGTCTGGTTCCCTGACTCCATATAAGAAGAAACAGAGCAGTTTACATACATTGGGGAATTGTAAGGTCAGGGAACCAGTCTAGCTGGCTTGTACCCGTTCATAGGTGTGTACTCGACTGCAAACAAATGCGATGGTCAATTGGGGCCAGTATTTGAAAAAAAGCCAGTTTTTTCCAACGCTGGTCGGCCGACCAGCGTTGGAAATTGATACAAAAATACCACTTTTCTTGAAAATGACTTCACACCAGGTGCCATAATTTTACAGGATGCTTTAAACTGTCATTTACCAACATCCTAGCAAGGTATTTCGAAAAATTGGTAGTTTTGTTTTTCGATATTTGCAAATGTTGTATATTCCCTTTAAGCACAGGCTATATATTTACTGCCTGATACCGTACATGCATGTTCGTGTATCAGTACATGCATGCATCACTCATTAACTGCTAGAGCATTTAATGACATTGTCAAATATGATTACCACACCTTAAGTATTTAATGCCTGGTTAACTGACCAATTCACTGTTTGAAACTTTCATAACCCCCGTTACTCACTGATCATGCATGCCAAATATTTCACTAATGATGTCAAGTTGAAACATCTGGCTGATAGCTTGTTAAAAAAAAAAGGCCAAACAGTGTTT